GGGCCTAGAGTAGTGTTTCCCAACAGCCCATGGGGCACTTACATTAAGAAAAATTAATAAAATATATTAATACAAATTTTCCGTGGCACACCTCTAGAGTCATTCCCCATCCCCATACTTAGAAGGTCATTGTAGCTCATTGCTGGGGCAAAATTTTGCAGCACAGCTGTGCAGAGACAGGCAAACTGTACATTCCCCACAGCCAACACATGCGCCGTAGATGAATTTCCTTCTGCTCAGCTGGTTCTCCCTCACCCCCACAGCCAACACATGCGCAAGTCTTCTGTGAATATCTCATTGATGCGGCTTACTCATTAGCGCTAGGATCTGGAGAACTTTCTTCTCATTATTCCAAAATTCTCATGGCGTACCAGGAAGCATACTGGTGTGCCGGGGCGCACGGATTGAAAAGTACTGGCCTGGAGTGCCTTTGTTTAAACTGATTAGGAGTTTGAGCCTGATGCCTGTGTTACCAACTATACGATCAGCAGAAGCTACAGCTACATTTCCTTAACAGGAAAGACTTGGGTAAAAAATAATACAATAAACACCTGTGCTTCCAGTAAGAATCATAGCAAACGTATCTGCAAATTAAAAAAGGGACAAATTTTTAAGGTCACATTATGCTGATGCCAAAAACAAAGTACATTTTACAAGCAGGTACATATTACTCAGAACCAAGGATTTCTTCCCCCCTCTAGCAACTCAGCATCAGGAGTTTATCAGGGAACCTGGAGCAAGTGGTGTTAATGTTTAGCTGGAACAAAAGAACAGCTTTATTAGGGTCTATGTTCATTCAGTTTTTCTCCCCACCACACACCCTCCATCACAGCGCATGCATGTGCAGGGCTGCTCCTGGTAAGAGTAAAGCAGATGCTACTCAAACTCCGCTACAGAGTCTTTTTTATAATTACAACAATTTTTTTAAGATGACGATAAACAGGGTCATCTGTGATAGTGCCCGAAGCAGCTTCCAGGGCATCACATGAAAAATGAGGAGAGACAGTAGCTCTGTAATTGTTGGTCTCAAATTGCTCCTGGCTGACCAGCCTCTCATGCTAGTCCTTTTTCCCTTTGAAGCTTCAAGGCATATGCCTGGCGTAGTTGTGATGATGTTCAGGGAGGAGAGAGAGAAAGGCAGGTAAAAAAGGGAAAATTTAGAAAAAAGTATCCTTGAATGACAGGATGGGAAAAAATCTTGACACTATAATCAAAATTGGCAAATTTGACACTGTTCAGGAGTAACAAAGGAACATTGTCTAGGGAAGGATAAACACTGCCTTTCCTAATATTACATCTTCGTTCAGTACTGTTCTCTGCTGTACTTTGAGCCACTGTAGCAAAACAATAGTGTCTGTAGGGGTGGTGGCAGTGACAAAGTTAGGGCTGGCATCTGTATTTATAGTGACTACCATTCAAAGGGAAAAGTCAGTCTTATTAGTCTCCCTCTCCCTCCGTCATCCCATAGACATATGACCCCAGGGGGCTAGTTATATGTTGCTCCCTACTCCTCTATTGTGCTCCCTTGTGAGCTTCAGCATATCGAATACTTGGATCCCTCCCTTACCACTCTGTTGTGTCATGCAAATTCTTCCTTCATGACCTGCTGACATGGGGCTCTGTTGAAATGTACACTGTTCAAGTAAAAGAGAAACAATCCTGATATACTAACTTTATTGCAATAAAATGAATTCTGTTCTTAGAGGGCCCCAGGTGAAATTAATTTAACTCAATAAAAAAGCAAGCCTTTTAAGAAGCAATCAGTGTATACAAGACATGGGTAACACTGGCACATTTAAAAATATTGTGTAATTTGATTCAAGATGTTGGCACCGTTTAAAAATAATGAAATACTGATGCACTATGGCCCATCTGATTTCTCTTTTCTTCACTTCTTCCTTTTGCTGTGCATCCCTGGGCATATATTCCTCAATCTCATTTCTGGTTTATAAACCTTTTACACTTCAGTATTACTTTTCAGATACTTTTCAGATCATTCCTTTTACCTCCCCATCTTCCATTTCCCTTCAAGGAACCTTTTTGCAACCACCCTCCATCTTCGGTTTAATAATTTTCCATTAGGATGTTTTTTGTTCCTTTGAACTCTCCTCCTTTTATTCATTCTTCCCCAGGCACGTCACACTCCCTTCCCCCATAAAAAAACCCTTTTGTGTTCCTTGTTCTCCTGCCTCATTAAAGGTATGCTTGCACTCTGGGTTAGTCTCCTTAGCTTGGGTTTTGGTAGTGGTCTGGCTACAGCCACAAGGGCTAAATTACCTTGCCGAGAAGTAAGATGCAACTGCTATGTACTTATTCCAGGCTCAAAAAATCAGACCAGTTTCTTAGATGTCTAAGGAAGGATTTAAGTGATGAACATTAGCATCCATATTTGAAAGGCCCCACACACAGATAGAGTGCCTTGAGTCTTCAATTTAGCATAATAAAAGGATAAGGAACTACTTATGATCACAGCTTATAAGTAGCTATATGGGGAACAGAATTTGATGATGGAGAGATTTTCAATCTAGTGGACAAACACGCAACACGAATCAGTAGCTAGAAGGAGAAGCTACACACAGTCAGATAGGAAATAAGGGACATAACAGCGAGAGTCTGCTGTAACTTACCAAGAGTTTGGTGAATTCTCCATTACTAGGAATTCTTAAAGGTAGATGGGGTATTTTTTTAAACAATCTGCTTTGATTCAAACAAAAATTAATTCAGGGGAATTCCATGGCCTGTGCCTGGGGCAGGTCAGGCTAGATGATCACAAAAGTCCCTTCTGGCTTTGTAACAGAAGAAAAAATAAGCCTATTTTTAGCCTGTAACAGTTCTTCTTAGGAGGATGGTACAAAAAAAGTAGAGCTTTATGAATACATATGCAACCCTCCCAAATCATTTAAAGTGAAAAGCCTTGGCACATGGGTGTCAATGATACACTGCATGTACTGTACCTACTCTGAAAAAATGAAGAAATTGAGTCTGTGGGATCAAAACTCCTGGATTTTCACAAGCAGGATAGGAGTTTGTTGGTTTGCAAAGAAAAACAGATATTCCTAGCAGTGCTTTAAAAAAAAATCCAGCAGAGAGCAGCAGTCATAAATTACAGGGAGGTTTTCAATAGCAGTTAGCAAAGGTCTAAGGAATCAACACAGGGGCTTATTTTAATACCATGGGCTGTGGACAGGCAAAACAATTATACTGAATTCAAGTGGGAAGGAAGGCTTACCACTTGCTAGTGCATTTCCACTGTTGGTTACACACAAAGCAGTTATAATGCATTGGCTTAAAATCCAGTAAGTTCCACCCCTCTTCCCTTCAATTGGTATTAATTTCTGATTTGTCCGTACCCATGGGGACAGAGCTTTCCACTGTCCCCTTCCCCATCACCATTTTCCCTCCAGTCCCTTGTAGGCCCCCTGACTCCTCAATTCTCCCTTTATAAACCCCAAGTGATGAAAGTAGTATCAGACACACTTTTGGGCGCTATCTAGCTATTCTAGTCCTATGTTACCCAGGAGGGAGCTTCCTTGCTTCAAAGCAATCAGAATTCATTGTTCAGCTCTGTCACATCCCCACAACAGCAATGAGCTCCTCAGAGCTTGCCAGACCTGCTGAGGCACTATGGTGGAGTTCAGTGATGGCAGGAGGGCTGTTGGCACTCAGACACATGAAGAGTTGGTTCCTTGATTTATTCTATTCCAAACAAGTTCATCACTGGCTAATTTTTCAGCAATAGATAGACAATTTATAACAGTGCTGACCATTTCATTCTGGATTTTCTGTAGATTACACACTACTATTATTATATGCCATAGCCCTGAAATTCATTTGAGTTGGTCTTTAAAACTTAGCATTTCATAATGTGAATACAAACACAGAAGTGACTTAGGAACAACAGTGATTATGAAGGGGGCATGTGCTTCTAAAACAGATGGGTGCTTCTGAAACTCCCACCCAATGTTTTAGCTGCTGAAATGGACTATTGCTGACAACTCTTAAGATTTTAGGGTTTTTTTTCCCTATACATCATAATGGCCTAGTTCATAAATGAAGTTTATTTCCAAACCAAGACAAGCATTTATTACAAAAACACTCAACCTTCTACACAGTCTTGAGGCTGGCACTGATATATAGTCATCATATACAAATGACTATCTTCCAGAATGAATAATTTATAATATAAGGTATTTGAGCTGTTTACTTTTCTTATTTAATGCAAAACCCACATTTCAGGAGTCTGAGCATGGCTTTCTGCGTGCAGCCTGGTTGACATCAGGAAGTCTGCAACTGGATGTTGTGGTCTCAAATTCAGGAGAGAGGAAACCTTGGAGCAGGAAGGTCCTGACACCAGCAATCCAGTTCTGAACGTGAACTCCATCTCCATGCACCTTCTGTTTAGCTTTGGCTCAGCAAATACAGTTATTTTGAAACTGCTGTATGTAGGGCTCTTTTCTCCCTTATGAGATCCAAAGCTATTTCAGATGCTAAACAATCAGTTGCTTAAATCACGTCACAGTTGCAGCTTCTGAGCATGGCTGTAGTGCAGGCTTTGCACAGATAAACATGGATCTTTGTCATATAGAAAACCATTTTAAACAATCTTTCAATACAAACAGTTTCACAGAAAATATTAAATTACTCATGTTTATCTCTAAAAATATTGCTTAAAAACTCACTAACAGAAACATTTTCTTCAAATGGGAAGTTCTGTTCCAAACACTGTTTGGCAGGTAGCAGTCTTTTACTGAGATAGCATTTTTTGTTTTTGTGGTTCTCCCCCTAATCTATAAACAGTCCTCAAGGGAAAAAAGCATGACACCAATATAAGAAGAAAAGTGAAATTGATTAAAATTTATCAGTTCTTAATGCACAAGGTTTTACATTTTAACTAGCTTGTACCACATGTAAAATGCTAAATTATTACTAAAATAAAAAGCAGCAAACAATGAGAAAGAAGAATATTATACCTGTTAAAAACATTGCTGAAGAAAGCAACACAAGATACAAAGAAATATTTTATTAAAATCATCTGGATAATACATGAAGTGTAACTAATACTATGTACTGGTGCAGAAACATGTCTAATAAAGCAGAAAAGGACACGTGATATATGTGAACAGAAGACATGTCAAACTGGTTTTAATGTACATATAAATATAAAAATTTTAAAAGGTGCTTGACAGTGATATATTAAATGGCTGTAATTTTGGCTACAATTAGAATATATAATTTTATATTCTTTAAGCAGTCTTAAGACCAGTGCACATGGTGAATTGCCGTTGATTGAAAAAGATAGGCTTTGCTTTCTTAATAAAATGAATACCTGCATTTCTTCAGGAAATATCTTAGGCACATGCAAAAGAAATTAAAAAAGACTTAAAAACCCTGCCACAAGCCAGTGACTTATTTGTTCTTGGCCGCCAGAGGCTTACGACTGATCTTCTTTGACTTGTCATTGTTCTTCTTTGGAGGCTCGGGGTTTGCCTGCATGTGTCTGCCATACAGACTGCAAGGAAATGAGACAAAGAACATTTGTGATGCCATCAGTAAAATAAAGGCTTTCAACCTGCAGCATGTTAAAACAATACATTTACTTAAGCAAAAGTTAAGAAAGCAGAGGGTCATTATGTTTTTTCTGCCTCCATATGCTAGAAAGTCCTAATAGTCTTCAAGCTGCAGCTTGAAATATTAGCTTTGTGTGTCTCATCAGGAGATTAACATTAGGAAAACTGGGGTTTAAGGAGAAGATAGGAAGAATAAGTTTTGCCTTCAGAAACTGGCAACCTTTATTCAGCACTTACGGCACAAAGGCTTGGAAGGCTGAGAATGTGTGTAGCTAAGCCGACAAAGAGAAAAATTGGGTCGAACTGGAGAGACAGAGTACCCATTTACAGCAAAGCGAGCATCATGCCTAACCATAAAACCCAGGGGCTTGATAATGTGACAGAGAGCAATGGTGTCACAGTCTTCTCTGGCTGTTCACACATGATTGATAGTACTGGGATAGCTACCAACACATCACTGCCACATTAATAAGTATCACCGATTAAATGTTGACAAAGTATCCTACAATTAAGATGGCTAGCATTCAGTGCAAAGCTAAACAGACTACATGGCCGAGAAGATTTAGCTGAATAACAGGTAATAATTAGGACTTAATTTATGAGCAATTCTGACTAAACCAAATTAAAAGCTTACCCAGAATAAATACAGCTCAAACCCTAACTTCTCTTATTGCCATGAACTGCTTTTTAGAACTGTCCTTTGCAGGGGTTTTAAGGTGTCTAGCAGGGAAAGGACCCGTAGCATTGCTTTCTCTAACTCAGCTGTGCAAACATGAGGAATGTTGACACATCTACTGAAATCCCTTGGAAAGGTGTCCCCTAATACCTCCTCTGTCACTCCTCTGGGCTTCAGGGCACCCTCCCTGCTAGCACACTGCCAACCAACTTGTGGAAATTAATGTGTCCAATTACTCTGAAAGCTGTATTCTGTAACAGTCCTTGAATATGTGTAGTAAGTTGTGTTCCAGTATCTGCATCTTTTGCTCTGGGAATACAAAACAGAACAGGACTGTCCAATTTCACAGTGGCAGGGTGCTGCAGCTGGTGTTGGTGTGTGGCCTCTGGGCAGTACACTGTATGCGTCACATGTGATGGGTGGGGGTGGCCCTTCACCATACGGGTTGGGTCAGCAGCATGCAGGATTTCACAGATTTTGGAAGGGACCTTGCAAGATCATCAGGTCCAGCCCCCTGCCAAAGGGGCAGGAAGTCAACTGGGGTCAGATCGATAAGTCAGCAAGATAAGCATCTAAGAGTCTCTTGAAGGTATCCAGAGTAGATGCTTGCACCACTTCTGGGGGGAGTCTGTTCCAGACTCTGGAGACTCAGATGGTAAAGAAGTTTTTGCTTATGTCCAGTCTAAAATGGTCTTCCAGCAGTTTGTGACCATTAGACCTCGTCTTCCCTTGGGGTGCCCAGGTGAACAGACGTCCTCCCTGTTCCTGATGCACACCCCTTATATACTTGTAAGCTGCCACCAAGTCCCCCCTGACCCTCCCCTGAGGATTCCCCCACCACACGATAGACTGGCAACACAAAGCCCTCCCTCCTCCTTTCCCCTGCAGGCTCTGCTAGTGGCACATAGCCCCCTGCCTCCTTCACTGGCAGCATGCGTCTCTCCCTGACCCCTGGGGTGTGTCTTATTGAGCAGCAGTGGGAGAGGTGGTTGCTGGGGCCCGCAGGCTGCATGCCCCCAGTTGGACAACCCTGGAATAGGATACAGAGTTTGAGCCAAAGATACTGTTAGGCTTTGCACACACGCCTTTGGCAGAGCCAAAATTGATGTTCGGATCTATAATTGGTCAGCACTGTCCTTACAGAGATGAAACCCAGGATTTTCCTAATACCTTAAGTGCACAGCATACAGGAAGCTTTACCTACATCGTGTGTGTTGTAGTGGTCAAAACACCCACCTGCCACTGAAAGTCTGAGCAGCTAGCAGATCTGCCTGACTCCTGCTATCAGTGAGGACAAGAGGCAGACCTGTCTGCTATTTCTGTCCCAACTCTGCCTATCAGAAATATGAGCAGCAGGTTCTGCAATGTTCCAGAGGCTTTTAAAGTCTGTTATCACTTCTCAGCTCTTGCGGGCCAAGATTAAGTGTAGTCGCTACACTGATCTGATATCTGAGTTGAAATGGATTTAGATGGCAGTGTGTAGTGGAGGGTGCACCCCTGTTCATATGTGGATAGGACTCCCAACAAGAGCCTCATAGTTGCTCTCACGACTGTTGGCTGAGGGCAAGCGAGGCTTGGGTATCCAAACCTGAAGCCTTTGAGCTTGGGCCTGCATGTAGGATGCCTGCTGATGGATTTGGAAGCATCTGAAGCCCCAGCCTGAAAAGTCTGGGGTGGAGGATACTTGCCGGTTGCAGCGCCACATATGGCGTTTGGACAACTGAGCTTTGCTAAGTCAGAAGGATTCGAAACTGATCTGGCTAATTTGACTTATAACATGAAAATTTTTCTGTCTATATATATATATATATATATATATTTATATATAAGCATGCCTATATGTATAGGAAATATGCCTATATATGTAGGCATGGCCTGACCTGCAGTTCAGTGATGGGCACAGGAATGATAACTTCTCTACAAAGAAGAATAACCACAATCTAACACAAGATAAGGTGTTTCACTGTCCTATAGTTGCACCAAAAAGTCCATAACTTTGCCCCCAGTGAACAGCCCAAGCTGCCTGACAACACACTGGGAAATCACTTCGGGACTAGGGGAGCAAACAGGCTCTCCTTCCCAAGCCATCTGTAGCCTTGACAGATCTGTTCCATGGCCAGAAAGGAAAGATGGAGCAGGCTCTATGACACACAATGTGGGAAAAACAGGTGATGGATCCACATAACAAATGTTCTACCAGGCCTGCCTTCAAATACCTTTAGCACACATGGAATGGGCTCTGTCGTTGCAGTAGCTATCTCTCCCCACTATTGGGACTCCATTCTGTTTTTGAAAAAGGGCAAGATTATCACCTCAAGATAGATGTGAACTTCTTCTACACCTTTTGTAGGACATTAACTCTGAACCTTTCCCATCTTCTCAGTCCTGTCCACAATTCTGCACCTCACAGGTGACAGACTAGTTGAATCTCCTACCTAGTGCGGAGACGTAGAGGACAGATTGCCATATGCCTATCTACTGTATAACAGTCTAAAGCTTTACGAATGCTATGCACCAGGAAACCCAAATATGGTTTGAATGCAGAGCTTGGTTTTAGCCTATCTTTCTACACCCACAAAAAGGATTCTCAACTGGCCAGCTTTCCAACAAGAGCATTCACAGAAAACACTGGGCTCTCCAGTTTACCCAGGTCCATAATAAAATGTATCTAGTAGGCACCAAATGGGACGCAACATAAATACAAATGCTTCTGAATTCTCACGCTACGTGGCACTGAATACTTTTTGACACGAGATTTTAACTGTACCTCTCACTAAAGCATACTGAAGTCCTAAAGCCCAAACTCTTGTGCATCTGCTTTAACATTCATTCCAGAGTCAGGAGCACACTGCCTCTCTGGAATCCCTGTCTTCTACAGCGGTATCTGGATCACATTTTAGAGTGAAGTGGGAGGGGAGTTGGGAAATTCATTCTTCACTTTCACCATGCTACATATTCTAATTTTGTGTCTTACTGATTTGCTGGCCACTGCCAAAGGTTTACTGTTCTGCAACCAGTTTTCCTTCAAGGAAAGTACAGTTAAAAACTAACCCATTCCTTGACCCTGCAAATACTTTAATGACTTGCTTATTGGCAATTAGGAACCAGATACCGTCCAAGTAAGGAAGAATCTCTATGGTCAGCGAACAATGACTGTTAGTTACTGCACATACAAATTTTCTACCTCATCACACTTAAGTTAGTATGCATCAACTATTAATCAAAATATACACTAGGGATTTTCCTTGGGTTTGGAGCATATAGATGAGTCTTGCTTGCTTTTTAAAAAAAAACAACTTCACTATTGGAATATTTCCACATTGAACGTAATATAAAAATTCCAGCTGTAATTAAGGAAATGCTCATTAGAATTAAGGAAATGCTCATTAGAAAGCACTCTTAGATAAAAATGATCAAAGCATTGTACAAGAGCTGTCTCATTTTCAGCTACACACAACTGATTAGTTGAAGCATGTTAGCAATAATTTTGTGATGCTGAAAAGTTTCACAGATGAAAAATGAAAACGTGCCCAAATCTGCAAACAGCCACTAGTAGGTAAATAGCACATTTACTGGGCCATGGATTAAGCTAAAATCTCAAAACCAGTGAGTATTTCTCTCAAAGGGACTAGGAAGGACGTGTGGAGGGAGAACACTGTATGAGCATCACTACACAGGACTGACTCTACCCTTATCCCACAGCATCTTCCTCAAGTTAGCGGAGAGCCAGAGATGAGAGGAGGAAGAGCTTTGCAGCTGAGGGGCTTGGATTAGCTGTGTGTAAGGATTTCTAAACAGGTTGGTCTGGGGTTCAAAACTGTTATGCTTTAGAGGTGCAATACATGCATTGTTCTCTTCTAAATAGCACTACTGGGATTATTTCTCTCTCTCTCTCTCTCTCTCTCTCTTTAAAGATGGATAAGGCTGCATATTTAGAAATCTGTACACATTTTCTGGTTAAGTATTTAAGACTAGGCTCTGGCATTTTTAAACAGAAAAAAAACCACTCACGAAAAACTACCAATAAGTAGGAAACCTGTTGCAAGGTAATATATTTGGCACAAAGTCAAAGTAAACACAAATATATTATTCACATTTTTACTATTTATCACAAAACGTCTTATCTTTAGAACTGCCAATGGTCCTGTTGTACAAGTTGTCTCTGTTAAATGTTTACTGACTAGTGAGGACAGACTGCTGATCCATGAGATGTTAAAAGGTTGCAACAGGGGTGATGAGCAAGGTGTACGTCTACAGTGAAGAGGC